TTTTGGACCAACTCGCTAAAAGTAATAATACTCATAATAAAAAAATGTCCGCCACTCTCAATTAACAAGAAAAAATCTTTGGCCTTCATTCGACGAACAGATTCTTGAATAAAATATTGCACTTAAGAATCATTTATCATTTCAAAAAGACGACATTTCGAGACTGAATTTGCCCCGTTGCCATTTGGCTAGAAGCAACACATTTTTCGGCAACACTGTACATTCTGTATAGAACACATAAGGGGGTACGCAACACAAAACTAAACTAACCTTATTTATATATTAAAATATGGAATAAATTCATAAACATTTTTTTTAACAGAAACTTGACCAACTATTAGTTATACAGCACTAAAACACGCTGTGAATCTAACTCGGTATTAGTTACTAAGAAGTAGACAAACAAATTACTAACAAGCACAACCACGACCATGAAATTACCTATGCAGAAAAGAGGGGCTTACAAATAATTGCGTATTCATATTTACCATCATTTCCAATACAGTATTGATAATTTCTTTGTGCGCAATTTGGAAGGCGCGTTACCTGCGAGCGCAGTGGGCAGCGGTGAGCACCCACTGCGGGGAGAGCAGGGAGCCGCCGCACAGCGAGGAGGAGTCGATGAGCAGCGACGCCTGGTACGGGATCTGGCCCTTGGAGGCCAGCGCGCCGCCCACGATGCGCCCGTTGCCGCTGGGGCCCGAGCTCGCCTTGCCTGCGCAGCCACAGCCCCGACACCCCCGTCACTTACACACTCGCAACGCGTTGTGGATGGGGGACTTTGCGGTTGCCGACACGCTTTCACCCGTGGTTTTCGAAGCAGTGTAGTGCATGTTGAATCGTGGAGGGTGGCGGTGTTCCTCGCCCGCTGGAAAGTGAGTTACGGGGCCGACCTACATCTCGGCTTGCGAGGTTTCGCACTCCGTGCACCTCCGCCAGCGAGGCGCCGTCTCAGCCGGGATAAGTTCTATGTCCCCATTGCTCTCCAGACTTGTGGTAGTGTAGGGCTTGTAAGTGTTTGCATGAGATAAGAGCAAGGATGTGAAAGAGAAGATCGCGTGCGATCCATGATCCTTTTGTTAAGGTACTGTTCCGACAGTCGCCTGGCACATTTTTGTGAACTTGATAATTCTACTCTCAAATCTGACATAATAATTATTATGTTTTGGGTAAGGGTTGTGCTGCTGGTGGAACATACCACACTGCGGAAGAAGCAAATTTATTCTTCACTCCGTGAAGAACGCGGGAATGAAACCAATAATAATTTAGATAATTTTGAACCTTTTGATGTTTGATTAAGCAAATTATATTTAGTGATTCGAATTTGAAGAAAAAATGGATAAACTGTCAACTTAACGGAAAATGTGTTCCATTGTGATAGAGTAAAAACTGTCGTTCAAGTTGAATTTATTAAATGAGAAAAATCATTTATGTTTGTTTTTTATCGACAAACTCTTACGGTTTCAGAATGCATGCTCTCGATATTATGCACTTTTAGTTATCACATCATACGTACGAGATACTATGAAGATGTGCAATTGTGTAAAGAGACCTCTCCAAACTATGGCTCTTGAGAATATTGATTGCTCCAAATACCAGAATGTTTCACAAATCTCTTATATCATAACCCAATCATTGAGATTTATTATTGCTGTACTTGTAAACAACTTGAATCTACAAGAGAGCGAGGGATAGGGTGAAGAGGCATAACAGATTGAAATGTAAAAGTTTTAGTTTCAAGGATATGCGCTCATTACCTAGTTGCCCATTTACCTGGAATCTCAGACAAATCGTCCTTGTGTAATGATAAGAATAAGTGAAAATTATCTTCGTATGTTTACACTTGAAAGTAACAGGCATCTGGCATTCAATAGCCTGGCGGCATCCCCTCATTTTTTAAAAAACTGTTTCTATTGTTATCCTTTTCATATATGTCGCGTAAAACTAACACGAGGAACTATAAGGCGAGCGTTGACTCCATGATCTTGACCACTTACCAATGGGAGTAACTGTTGGTAGAAACTCTTGTGGTTCAGCTAACCTGGGCGCCGCCTATGCACACCAAGAAGAGACGATTAATAATGAAAGAAATAGCAATAATATTAAAACTAATAATAATGACTAATATTATAAAGCAAAATACCTTAAAATTTGAATAAAAATATATTTTTTATTTTGTGTAAATAAATATATTACATGGAATTATTATGAAAAATAATAGAGGAGTAGAACAAGTTGAAAACTTGACTGACCATAAGACCTACCCCTAGTTTGAATAAGAAACACCTCACACTTTACATTTATATAGTTTACATCACATTTTATATTTATAAGTTTTGAAAGGTGTAATGCAACAATTATCATAAGCTGCCTGATATGTCCCTGGGTTACCGAAAAAGCTTCAAGCTGGTAAAAAACAGAAGCGTTTGTTTGAATAATTTTTCAATAACCGAACGTGAGATAGGTCATTGATTAAGTACCTCGTGATAACACATCTAATTTGAAAATGGGAGGGTAGTTGTTGGTGTGTATACATATTCAAGAATGCTAGTAATCCTAGAGGTAGAAGGATTCTACCTCCGAATGTGACTCAGTACACTCATATATCGATGTCTCTTGATATATCGTCAGCGCACGTACAAATTTAATTTCTCTTTAATGTAAGAAGTGTAATATTCATGTAAATGTCATGATATCATTTGTCTAAGTATTGTAACGTGTTTACTGTTTATATGCAATGAGGGCAAGCAGGCGGGCGAAAGAATTCAATTAATAACAATTTCAAGAATGCTGAATGTGATATTCGGAATATTTTACGAAAGCATGTATTGGCATCACTTTGCTAAATGAAACCGACACATAAAACGCGTAGTTGACAATTTGAGTTAATTGTTATTAATATTCTCTGTTCGATCAGGGTAACAGAAATGGCTAGGATGGATGCGTATAGCGATCGGTTTGAAGGGTCACGTGTTCGAATCTCATCTCCGACACGGATGTTTACTTATGTGTTGCCGTGATGGAGCTCTCCCAGCCACTCTAAGTAACTTTAAACATGATTCCCGTTCAAATTCTCATCTTTAATTTCGTTAGTCATTGTCTTTTACATGCAATCTTCAGCACAGACCTCGCTTATCCTAGGCCACACGCTGGCAGCAATTCTATAACAGTTCATTGCGTTTATCTCCAAAAAAATCTGCAAGATACGCGCGTTGAAACAGCTGTCATGTGCCGTAGTATTATGCCAATGCTAACTACAGGTTGATTTTTGCACCCACGACCACCCCACAAGCGATTCCTTATCTCTACATAACTCCACGTGCGCCTGCAAAATCCCCTAAACCAACTTCGACAATTCATTAAGAACTTTCTACATATTCAAAAATAAACTAGCGCGCATGTGCAATTAGCTGACTTCACGAAAATAACCGACCGGGATAATAGTTTAACTCAGACATTTACAAGATTCAAAGTGAGAAGTGATTGTATTTTGAGAGAACGGTAAACCAATGGAGGAGCATGGCAGAGCTTAGGGAAAAGGGTAAAAAGCATGTCCAAAAAGTATTACTTTTCAGCACTTCAACCAAATTGTTCAAGCATAGGGAAAAGAGTTCCATTTTCGGCAAATAAATAAAGAAAAAATGCAGGTTACGGGGTGAGAGAACATTTTTCTTAAAAAAAAATATTTTTCTAAAAAAAACAAACATTTCTAAAAAACTTTTTTAAAAACATTTTTCTGAAAAAACATTTTCTGAAAAAAACTTTTTCTGAAAAAAACATTTTCTGAAAAAAACATTTTTCTGAAAAAAACATTTTTCTGAAAAAACATTTTTCTGAAAAAAACATTTTTCTGAAAAAAACATTTTTCTGAAAAAAAAACATTTTTCTGAAAAAAACATTTTTCTGGAGAAAAACATTTTTTGAAAAAAACATTTTCTGAAAAACATTTTTTCTGAAAAAAACATTTTCTTGAAAAACATTTTCTGAAAAAAATACATTTTCTGAAAAAAACATTTTTCTGAAAAAACATTTTTCTGAAAAAAACTTTTTCTGAAAAAACATTTTCTGAAAAAACATTTCTGAAAAAAACATTTCTGAAAAAACATTTTTCTGAAAAAAACATTTTTTAAAAAACATTTTCTAAAAAAAACATTTTCTAAAAAAAACATTTTTTCTGAAAAAAACATTTTTTCTGAAAAAAACATTTTTTCTTAAAAAAATTTTGAGAAAAAACATTTTTTGTGAAAAAAACACTTTTCTAAAACACTTTTTCTGAAAAAAACATTTTTCTAAAAAAAAATTTCTGAAAAACACGGTCTTTTAGTTTTGATTCACAAATCACTACAATAGTGGTTAATATTAATATTGAAAACCATGCTACAAGTTTCCTGAAATTCGCGAGTAGACGAACGCAGGTTCCCAGACGGTGCTGTGGGGCGCGCGTCACTCACCTGAGCGGCGGCGAGGAGGGCTACGCAAGCGAGGATGATCTTCATGGCTGCAGTTCGTGTGGTCAGGTGCCGGGCGTGCGCTCCCGCAGGGTCTTATAGGCCCTGGACCGCCCGCCTTGCGCACGCGGGTTTCCCCCCACGCGTTATCGCCGCAGACGCGTGGTGCGGGCACACGCCGCGAGCCGCGCCGCGCTGCGATCGTAATCTGGCGACGCCATTGTCCCTTGGGAGGTCTCGAGTGCTCTCGAGAGGTACGGACATGGTATTGTTTCGGTGATTGCGCGCAATCTGGAGAGAAATGTCGTCGTCTGGGATTGGTGCTCGTAAGTGTAGAGTGAGTTATCAAGGAACACCTACTTTTTGCGCCGCTTACGTTGAATATGTGCGTCGCGGGTTTCTTTGAGCGAAAAAGAGATAAAGGAACCGCAGAATGATGCTGCATCTAACAATTTTGCAAGTCATCACTCTTCATGAATTGGGGAAGTAACTGAATTGGCCATTAAATAATTAGACTATAGAGTGCAAGAAAAACATTTATGGAAAAAAAATACTAAAAAAACTTCTTTTAAAGAAAGAAGAAGCCTTCCATCCCTTGTTCTTTGATGTATTTAAAACATGATTATTGAAAAAAAAACATTTTTCTGATACGATTACGCAACAGTATAAAATATTATTCAGGTAGAATAAATATTAATTCGACTCGTTGTGAATAGCATTGACTTGTGGGTACTTATTTATTTACATGAAAAGTAAAGGATCTCTGTTCGTGATTAACCAGTTTCCACTCCTAATAAAACAATGGGACATGAAAACTCTGTGAAACAAAACTGAGTGAAGTCTATGGCATACATCTGCATACCTAAGTTCTCAGTGGAGGTAAAGATTAATGAAGTTTTAGTTAAAACATTGCGTGTTCAACCCGCTAGTGCTGGCAAACATCAATTAACTATGCGAATTACAGTTTTAACGTTCTCACTTAAGTAAATATGTTTAGAGTACGATCTAGTGTAAAGATGTTCCATTCCTGAAAAAAACTGACGTTTTGTTTGTTTGCATGCTGATAGTTCTTAGGTTGACGGCGAGCAGATGGGAAGTTGCGTAAATGCACGATGTTTTTCGTTATGAGAGACTACTCGTCATGAGGTGTAGCTAGAGGAATATATCATGAATCCTGTAGATAAGATGTAAAACGAATTTCCAGAAATATTATTATAATTTGTAACATTTTGTGAGTGCTTTAAGAAAATAATTGCTTGATAGAGTGATTACCACCTGATAATAGTTTTTGGGAACTGCTGCTCATGCTCAGAGACAAACAGGTAACTTTTCCAACTTCTCGGTCTGTAGAGGAGTGTTTATGTGCTTGCGTGTACTACATCTGAAGAAATATATTGCTCATATCTTATTGTCTACTTCTGCTTCCCTTAGACATTAGACCTGTTGGTCTGTTGAGATCATTACACCTATTGGTCGTTGACCACTCCATGTTGTTTTGGGTCTACTGATAGGTTTTTTCCCTCGAGGTGAGTAGAAGAGGAGTTGCTTAATCAATTTTTAAGTATTTGAAATTTATCCATATAGACAATATAAAGGGTTGTGTCTAAAGGCAATTCTTAGATCGTAAATGCTCCAGAACGCTTATCTAACTTTATTCTTGTAGCGTTAAGGAACTCGTCTCGCTCTATTAGCTCAAGACGTGTGATTTCAATTCAGGACGACCTTTATCGCTGCATCCTTCAGGAACAAACAGAGGCAGAAGTAAAGACAGCAAAGTTTAACGGTTCGCGGAAAAACCCTCAAAGGCCATAGTCTTAGAAGAGATTAATGGGTCTCCCTCTCGTGTATGATGATTTGGGTATTTCATTCGCGTGCCTTATCATATCTCGTTTCCTGTGTTTTGTTTTCTAGAGTTCAGGGGATTTCTTTCCCAAATCTTTTTTTTTCCTCCACTCGAAACCGCAGTCAATTGCGATCTTGTCTGACACGTTGGTTAGACACTTACAGACGACTTGAAATACTTTCTGCATGAATGGAGAATATGTTCAGAGTCGATTTCTGGAACAATTTACTTAATTTTTCAATGTCATTAATGATAGATATCTAGATTAGGTGTTTGATAAGATGTATATATTTAGTGAGAGAAAACTAGATTTAGTGTCGCAGCATTTGCTACATGAATTTGACTAAAAACCGAATCTAGATTCAGAAGCCGCAAGCAATATTTGTTGAAGACTCTGAGTAGATAACAGTGTAATTAAATAATATTTTGCTAATGTATTAAGATTTTTCAAAGATTTAAAAATATGTTAATGTAATATCTATGAAATTAATATCATTTTTGTTCATTTTTGGTAGTATCAAATAAAATATTCGTTAATTCGATCTTTCAGGGTAAAGGGTACAATTTTGCATAAAGTTAGAAAAGAAAAAAATAACTTTTATAGGATTTTAAATAACGAATGCATTTAAGCGATAATAATATTTCGATCTCTCTGAGAAGAAACTCTTAGCCATTTCTCCTCCCGTATATTAATCAATATCTCACACCTCTTCTCTGGCAAAAAGAGGAAGCTTATGTAAAGGATCTATACAAGACAAGGGAAAAATCATCTGAACTGCCGCCAACAGTCGTCTCTTTCAACTACATCAGCTTGTCTTGCGATGCCACAAGCCAGCAAAGGGTCAGGGTACGTCAGGAAGTGAGGAGAGCAGTACGGTGTCAATCTCAGAACGCGGGCTGGCGGAATCCCGTGTGAAATTGCAGGTAGAACCAAAAGATATTTCGTACGTCTACGCACATATTCTAAGTTATTGTATGGTTAATATGAATTTCTTTATGAAATTCACTTTTTTGTCTTCTGATCGATGTATCACTACTGAATAGGACCTAAAGTGTTATAGCATGAGTTGACTATTAGAACAAAACTACTTGTGAAGGGAATATGACTATGTGTAACCGTATGTGAGTCACGTTCGAAATATGTCATGGAGCATTGGAAAAAAATATTCGTGAAAAGTTTATGAATTTCAGTTATTAAAATCATTATATTCTGTTAAAACACCAATTTTAGTGCTAATACATTAGCTCTTTGAGCACCAGGTGGTGTAACTCGGTCTTTCGTGTTTTTTACAATTGGTTTGGTAACCGTGTTCAGTATGTGGAATTCCGTTAACAGCACAGAGGGATAGTTGTATGTCACTCAGCATCAATGTGGATAGGAACATTGAGTTAATGCTGTAAACGGAGCCATCTACCTGCTGACAATGTGGTATAGATTGAAGTTGCACTAGTTTTCGCAGTTCTCTGTAAATATTCAATTGATACAAAATGAGAGACGCATTCATAATTTGTTTTTAAAGAAACCCTTTCTTCAAGCCATTTCGTAAATTGTTTTATATCGCTTTTAATCGCGTTTTATATAACTTTTAATCGCGTTTTATATTACTTTAAAGTCGGGATCTCAAAATGGACGAACAGTTTCTCTACCTACCAAACCTCAGAGAAACTGTACAGAGAACCACGATTTTTTGCAAAAGAGAAAAGAAGATATGAAAAACCTCTCGCCCTTTATCTCACTTGTTCATTACCACTACTTGAAATATCTTCTTTGCTTCTGTCATTCTTGAAGACATCGGACCACTGAAAGGAAATGACATCTATAGCTGTTGAAGATGGTAGAGCAGTAACAAAAATTATGTAAATTAAGAAATAGTCCAAGGTTTCATTTTCAATTTATTTGAGATGATATGTTCTTACATTTTTTACATAATATATCTTTTAAACATGAATTTCAAATTTCGGCTTATTGTATTCTCCAGATTTTATCATATTACTCATTTAACCTAGAATTTAAAAAATATAACACTGTTATTTACTGGATTTCATATTTTCTTGTCAACTTTGTTTACATATTTGTATAAGAAGTGGTTAAACTCCATTTAGGCCCTTATACCATGCCTAGAATTGAACCAAATTAATCAGTATGGTCAATTTGAGGCAAAACAATCATTTTTAAACCAACATATGTAAAAAAATATGAAATAATGTACTGCTGTGGTGTTGGAAAAAGAAAAGCATGAGTTACAACGCTTGGGCTTTAAGTGGTTCATGTAAGAAGTATTTTAATTATTTTGCATTCATATCTAAAAGTTTCTAAAAAGTATTTTGAAATCTGTAAAACATTTTTTTAAATGTTTAAATATCTAGAACTAAAATTGGGAGGCTTACTAATAAAAAAGTTTTTTGTATTTTTGGTAAGGTAATTCGTTAAGTAGTACAGTTGTACCCTCCTTTTTACTTTAATTTTTTGTAATAACTTATTTACCCTTAGGGGAAACCAGATGATGTCCTTAGTCTTGAGGCATTATTCTATTACGTATTTAAGACACGAGAAAATGCGATATCGAATATTGTTATCAATGAAAACTAACATTTCTCTTTAGAAACAAAATTCACATTTTGAGAAATAATATAGCAAATATCTTAAAAATAATTTACAGGCTTATATTTAATAATTACAGACACTGATGATTTTGGAAAGAATTATAAAAGTACATCTTTCTTTCAACATTCAAATTTATTTTTTTCACATACTGTACATCCAGGCCATTGTTATTATACGGTATCTTATGGCTCTTATAATTGAGTCACTGGCATGGGAAACTGCTATAACTTCAAATTTTCAGTTTTCATGCAGAAGGTAGTGCGTGTTTATGCCACTGACTAGGAGAAAGTAATATATCTTGAAATTCATAGTTTGAGGATATTTAACTATGACCCTTGATAGGGAATTGGACTTCTCAGAACAATGTGGCAAATATTTTAACAGAAACTCTTTCAGCATCCACCTAAAAAGGGACCGGCCATCTAAAAAAAACACTCAAGCAGATTTTGCTGCAATAAAAAGATGATAATTTAATGACATTAAAAGCGATGGAACAGAATATTTTTAAGAAAAGACAGTTATTAACATGCTTACAACGCCTTCGAAAAAAACTAGTCTTTTCTGGTACCAAGTAGAGAGAATTAGTAATTATGTTGGACTTCGATGGACCTCGATGAAAAGTATCTTTCACTTTGGTGAAGAATTTACGAATAATGTGCTAAAAGCATTCATTCTAAATTTGGCTGAGCAGTGATTTTTGAG